AATCTGTTGATGGGACAAGAAAGTTTACTTTTTAAGACGGGGATCTATTTTACTACTGGAGACTGGAAAATGGCAAGATTTCTTTCCATGCAAATCTTTATTTTTTAGATTCTGTTGTCAGGTATCTTTTTTTATTAACTATAGGAAACATGGAGTAGGAACTAACTTCCCTTGATCACCACTACTGCACACCTTCACTGAAGTGGAAGATTTGTTCGTGTTAAAAGTTATGTCCTGGTTTCACTTTAGCTAGGGGGTTAGTAATTCTTTATCATAGGAGTCTTTATCATTATCATAGGAGTCTTTCCCCGGCACAAGATCAAAGTGTGTTATTCACAAATGAATGCAGAAATGGGCTCCACTGCCCTAAATTCTCTGCAGCTTGGTAGAATGATTGAGCGCCATTTTGAGTCTTTTGTTTAGTTTAATATAAATTTAAATACGCATTTCTCTTGTGTGATGAAAGATAAATAAAGCTACTAAACGTGTTATTGACATTTTGGTGACGTATTCTTGCAGAACATAAGGTCAAGGCCTTTTGCGCTTTCATGCTAAACATGAACAAAAATGAAGGACGGTACACGCTATAAAAATATTCCTGGAGATCTCTTTCGCTGTGGTTGTAATTTTGTTCTGCATTCTTGGCCAATTTAACTAAACTACACTCTTGCACATTCCAGAAAGCTGGAATGTTGTGCTTATCTAGAAATCGATACGCTATCTGCTTTGCCACAACAGAAGTAAATGTAAACTGATATTAAATAGAGGTGTGAAATATGGGAATAGAAAATCCTGGCACATGCACAAAAAGTAATGAATCTCAAGGGTAGTGTTGATTTCCTCACAGTATTTTTTGGAACGTAATTAACAACTTGCCAACGTAAATCAATTTTCGAAACGTTTACTGACTGAATCGTTCTTGACGGCTGTAGAAAAGGTTTTTTGGAAACTTTATCACCCTGCAACTCACAACTGGCAGCCCAGTGAAACTCAGCAGGTGTGAGCCTGGTCAGTACCTGGATGGGAGACCTCCTGGGAAAGCTAAGGTTACTGCTGGGAGAGGTGTTAGTGGGACCAGAAGGGGGTACTCACCTTGCAGTCTGTGTGGGGCTTAATGACCCAGTGAAGTGATGGGGACACTATACTGTAAAAAGTCCTTTGGATGAGTTGTGAAACTGAGGTCCTGACCTTCTGTGGTCATTAAACATTCCAGGGCGTTTCTTGAAACGAATAGGGGTGTTACCCCTGCCATATTTCCCATTGGCCCTTGCCAATCATGGCCTCCTAATAATCCCCTTTTATGAACTGGCTTCATTACTCTGTTCTCCTCCCCACTGATAGCTGCTGTGTGGGGAACACTTACACTTACAGTATCCAGTGCTTTTCTGGACACTCCACTCCAAGTGCTTTACAGGTAATGGGGACTCCCCTCCACCACCACCAGTGTGCAGCCCCACCTGGATGATGCGACTGCAGCCAGAGTGCACCAGTACTCTTCCCCACACACCAGCTCTCAGTATGGAGGAGAGCAGAGTGATGAAGCCAATAAGTAAAGTCAAGGTAGTAAAAATAGTGCTTTATTGGTGTTAGGGGGTGGTGTTACATAGTGAGTAAGCCTTTGGACGTCTGAAGGACAGGTTGTTGGTTCGGTTCCCTGCTGCAGGCACTCCTCTTACCTTGAGGAAAATACTTCACCCCTCTTGCTCCATTTCACCCGGTTGTATAAATTCTCGTGAAATCAAATCCGTGGGTTTGCGACAGAATAAACAGTTATCAATAAGCAGCTGACGGACTAAACCCAGGTCACAGCTGTATGCTTAACTTTAAAACGTTAGTAGCATTGGTAGGTGTTAATATCTGATAGAAGATAAAAGTGTGTAAAACCAATTATAGGGCAATTTCACCGATAATGCCACGCTTAAAAAAAAAAAAAAAGTCCTATTCTGTAGGTAAAAATAATCCCAATCTAAACAGCAATTGAATTATCCCTTTTGATTAAGGCTAAGATCTCCCTGAGGTATTTGCTAGGGGGAGAGACAGGAAATGTCCACTTAACTAAATGTTCTTACGCTGTTGGTTACGGACGGTAATGAAGCTGGCTCCACTGTCCGTTTCTGGGATTAAGTGATTTGGGATACCCAGCCTGTGCTTTGTGGTTTCCAGGCAGCTGACTGTCAACTGCATATCCTAGGTTTAGTCTGACTAATGCACAAAGCTGGGAGAGTTAGACCTGCTAAATAAATCCATCCATCCATCCATTTCCTAATCACTTCTTCCAATTCAGGTTCGCCACTGTTCCGCCCCTGCTGAACACAGACACATAAAATTACACTAAACTTTACTGAGACGCAGCACAGTTTCCTGTTTTGAAGAGCTCAGTCCGATAAAGGGGTGCATACAATAGGGGTGGCACAGGGGCTTTGTTTTAGGCAGAATCTTACTGTGGGCTCGCCTGGGAAAGTGGGTTTGTGCCAGAGGGGTGCCCACTGGGCTGGCACTGGATCGCGGGCCCAGGCGAGGGGTGTACAGTGACTCCTACAGCTGCTTTTTCTCTAGTTTGTTTGTGTGCATGCCATTGGTTACTAGGGAGGGCAGATAGCTGCCTATTTCCCAGGCATAAGCTACAACAATGCAGTCTTTTTATGTAATAAAGTCAAATTGTTTCCTTCTCCACGTGATTATTCCACGTGCTGTCCTTACAGGACCAATTTAGAGAGTTTTATCAAACTTTTCACATCTCTGGATGTGACCTAGGTGGTTTTAAGAAGGGTGTCATCTTCTATTCAAGTCTGGCTGCCTTTGATAAGACTTATACCCGCAGTGACTGGGATAGACGTTGTCTGCTTTGTTGAGAATACGCTGTGTTACTCCATACTAGGCCATTAGCACACCTACACCTCTTTGGAATTGTACAGTTAGTATTTATCTGGTCTATTTTTACTTCATTTCAGCCCTTGTACAAGGTACACTAAAATTATATATATTTTTCCTTTTCTGGACTGTAATCTCTTAAAGAGCTAACAAACCAATCGCCCGACCACAGGTACAGTACACGGCCACTCAGGTATTGAGGAAACCTACATTGCATTTCTCTTAGGATGTCGTCTGATGGTGAATATAGCCATCTGACTATCCTGTTATCTTGATCCTGTTAGTTACTACTTTCAACATCTTGAAACCAAAAAGGGTCTCATACTTTCTGTAGTGTGTACTTAGCAGCAGATTTCTGTGTTCTAGAACAGTCGCTAGTGATTTAAGTACCCTAGTGAAGCAGCAGAGTGGCAGACCACAATTACTGCCTGCTGCAAAGTTACAGAGCAATGCTATTTTGTTTGTAAGCAAAAGTGCCTTATCTTGTTTTTAAAATTGTAGAAAGAGCGAGACACAATAAACAGAAAATACCCTGTTCTGGTCTGGGTAATATTTTACGGAATATACCGTATAGTCTCTTGCAGTACAGTCTTTGCATTTTGTTACCTGAAAGCTTTCAGCTGGGACTGAGTAGCCTCCTCTCATTAGTGCAAACAGGCCTTTGCACTATTTTCACATTTTCTCTACCTTAAAGCTCACAGTTATGACTCTTCGAAGTCACAATTAATATTTGTTGTGTACAGGATGCACAAACTCCACCCCA